ATAAACTATTAACTTTATATCAATAAAAACTTCAGATTTTAAGCTTTATTTTGACATATTTTTCATTCATTTTTATGCGGTAACTTTTGAGCTATGGACAAATAAAAAATTCCAAAAAGTTTGTTACACACTGTATATGTTCACGAATTAATAAAACGTGATACAAAAATCAGCAATTATCAACATTCCGAGAAATGAATTATCTAATACTAATAAAAAGTGAAAAATAATGCAGATAAAATCTTGTTATTACATAATTGGGGAAGCAATATCATGCCCAATTATCTTGTCAATTATTAAATTTTATTTTCTTTTTATTGTTCAATGGTGATAATTGGTCAATATGATTCGTTTAATAGTCTAATAGCAACAATAAAATTGGTAAAATAAAATTTGTTTCGTGATTTATTTTCCTTGTTTGATAGGTTCTTTTGTGAAGTTACATTTTTACTTTCATTCTCGTAAGGAATTACGCTCAAATCCGTATGATGTTATATATCTTTGAACTTGGTTACCTAAACCATCATGTCAAGTTAGTTATGATGATTAATATTTATTATGATTGCCAATTATAATAACTTTAATTGCCAATTGCACATACTTTCTCATTTTCAACCCAAACATCAGTCGGTATTTTTACTATTTTGGCTTTAATTCCATATATCAATAGCCAATTTTTCAATTGACGTAACATAAGATCTTACTGACGACTAATAAGATTATTTAGAATTTTTGCATAATGAATAACATTTAATAACAAACCAGTTGGTCCAGGCCATGTAAAGTAATCTCAATGTCTATTTTAATCATCAATAAAAAAATCAATCAACCCATTAACTAGTAAGTATTTATTTATTAACTCCAAAATTCTCTTGCTCCTAATTCCTTACTTCAGCGTCATCTTTCACTAGTCTTCTTCTTCCTGGTGTATATGTTGGAGGATGGTGGAGTAATACTAATATATCAGGTAAAGGCTCATTAAATTTTTTATGGTGTTCAACAAGAAAATTTTGTAATTCAAGTCCGGAATTTTTTCTTTTATGATCGTCAAATTTTATATAATAAAGATCATCATTAGAATTATTCACAAAGCATATATATTTTATACATTAATAATTGAAATAATATACATTGGCAAATATTATTGAATGAATAGATTCTTACCTGTAGAAAGCGCATGGAGATTTTCCACAATCTATGATATATGTAAAAAAAAAATTAACATGGTATGGTGGCACGTATTCACTACCTATCAATCATAACGGAGTCAAAAGTTTCACATTTGTATCCTCTGTTGATGGTGTTACTACTAGCTTAAGATTAATGACAGAGTACTTGTAATCTTATATTAGCATTTCTCCATTTTTATGCCATCTTGAGTTTTATTACGAAAAGGCCAAAGGCATTTTCATGATTCCAGTAATGAAATTGCACCCATGTTTTTCAAGCATCAATATGATTGCTGTTTAGCATTAAAACTACCATTTTTGATTTTCTATATGTTTTCTAAGATATTTTAGAAGTCCTCTTCAAAATCAAAAAAAGAGAACATCATTGAGGCAGATCTTTCAAGCTTCAAAGTCAAATGTTCCTTCAAAATATGGATCTATTCACTATCAAATAGCCAATTAAATTCTTTGATTATTACACATATCGTTATCTATGCTAGAGTTTAATAATAATATAATTTTGAAAATTTTTCTTCTGTTAATTCAAGTACATAATTGTCACCGTCACCACCACCACCACTATCACCATCATTACATTAACTTCTTCATTATCATTAATTTTCAAAATAAATACTGAAAATAATTATTTAAAGATCTTTTATTTAAATAAAGTATTCTTTTCTTTTTTTATTCTTAAAATTAT